AAAAAACTTCTGCCACGGCGGACTTCTCCCATGTGCGCTTTAGATGGTGGCCATAAAAATGAGTAATAGTTTAATCTTCAGTCATCACAGTTATCAGCCAGTTATATTTTATTTGCACGTTTTTATTCTGTCATGTAATGTCACTATAAACACCAGAGATAGTCAACTTTGTCTGGAGGTCATTTTTGCAAATGAAAGAAGGACAGAGGCCATTTAGTAAACAGACATTAAAGGGGAAGTACGTCCATTTTCAAAATTCATGGGTGGTACGCCTATGGTCTAAGATAGTCCAAAAATGTGAAGAACTCTCTCTGAAATCCAAAAACTAGAGTGCTGAAACTCAAATTTGTGATGTCATAGGGTTTAAAGTCTGGAGCTACATTGATAATGAATTGATTAAGATGTTACAGATGACACTGAGAGCAAACAGGGGAACGTTCTGAGTATATGAGTACATTTTCTGTTTCAGAACTGAGCACATTACAATCGATAAAGCTCATCTAGGTATAAAAAAGAATAGAAACACAAAATCAGCTTCCCATTCATTGCCTATGAAGCAGCTCCGGACTTCATTCTTGATGACATCACAAGTTTGAGGCTTAATGTTCACAGGCCAGCTGTCAGAAAATACAGGCAGGGGGACAACATTTTCAAAAGTGGGCCTCTCAACCACACTCATGAGGGGAACCCTTTACATTTTTATAGGTCCTGCGTTATATATACAGTACAGGCCAAAAGTTTGGACACACCTTCTCATTCAATGCGTTTTCTTTATTTTCATGACTATTTACATTGTAGATTCTCACTGAAGGCATCAAAACTATGAATGAACACATGTGGAGTTATGTACTTAACAAAAAAAGGTGAAATAACTGAAAACATGTTTTATATTCTAGTTTCTTCAAAATAGCCACCCTTTGCTCTGATTACTGCTTTGCACACTCTTGGCATTCTCTCCATGAGCTTCAAGAGGTAGTCACCTGAAATGGTTTTCCAACAGTCTTGAAGGAGTTCCCAGAGGTGTTTAGCACTTGTTGGCCCCTTTGCCTTCACTCTGCGGTCCAGCTCACCCCAAACCATCTCGATTGGGTTCAGGTCCGGTGACTGTGGAGGCCAGGTCATCTGCCGCAGCACTCCATCACTCTCCTTCTTGGTCAAATAGCCCTTACACAGCCTGGAGGTGTGTTTGGGGTCATTGTCCTGTTGAAAAATAAATGATCGTCCAACTAAACGCAAACCGGATGGGATGGCATGTCGCTGCAGGATGCTGTGGTAGCCATGCTGGTTCAGTGTGCCTTCAATTTTGAATAAATCCCCAACAGTGTCACCAGCAAAACACCCCCACACCATCACACCTCCTCCTCCATGCTTCACAGTGGGAACCAGGCATGTGGAATCCATCCGTTCACCTTTTCTGCGTCTCACAAAGACACGGCGCTTGGAACCAAAGATCTCAAATTTGGACTCATCAGACCAAAGCACAGATTTCCACTGGTCTAATGTCCATTCCTTGTGTTTCTTGGCCCAAACAAATCTCTTCTGCTTGTTGCCTCTCCTTAGCAGTGGTTTCCTAGCAGCTATTTGACCATGAAGGCCTGATTCGCGCAGTCTCCTCTTAACAGTTGTTCTAGAGATGGGTCTGCTGCTAGAACTCTGTGTGGCATTCATCTGGTCTCTGATCTGAGCTGCTGTTAACTTGCTATTTCTGAGGCTGGTGACTCGGATGAACTTATCCTCAGAAGCAGAGGTGACTCTTGGTCTTCCTTTCCTGGGTTGGTCCTCATGTGTGCCAGTTTCGTTGTAGCGCTTGATGGTTTTTGCGACTCCACTTGGGGACACATTTAAAGTTTTTGCAATTTTCCGGACTGACTGACCTTCATTTCTTAAAGTAATGATGGCCACTTGTTTTTCTTTAGTTAGCTGATTGGTTCTTGCCATAATATGAATTTTAACAGTTGTCCAATAGGGCTGTCGGCTGTGTATTAACCTGACTTCTGCACAACACAACTGATGGTCCCAATCCCATTGATAAAGCAAGAAATTCCACTAATTAACCCTGATAAGGCACACCTGTGAAGTGGAAACCATTTCAGGTGACTACCTCTTGAAGCTCATGGAGAGAATGCCAAGAGTGTACAAAGCAGTAATCAGAGCAAAGGGTGGCTATTTTGAAGAAACTAGAATATAAAACATGTTTTCAGTTATTTCACCTTTTTTTGTTAAGTACATAACTCCACATGTGTTCATTCATAGTTTTGATGCCTTCAGTGAGAATCTACAATGTAAATAGTCATGAAAATAAAGAAAACGCATTGAATGAGAAGGTGTGTCCAAACTTTTGGCCTGTACTGTATAATCAAATTAATCATATTTCCACATGTATTTTGTACCTACTTGTACTTGTATCCACTGTGAAGACCTTGTTTTCTTATTCTGAAAAGCAGAGGTAGTCACATCAATCAATCAGTCAATCTTTATTTATAAAGCACTTTTCATACATAAATGTAGCAAAAATTGCTTTACAAGGTCAAAGAAATGTCCCTCCAAACCCACCCCCCACACCCCCACATACACACAGCCACCCAGCCACCCACCCACACCCACCCACGCATACACCCACTCACCCACCCACATACACAGTCATGATGTAGACATAAAAACATAAAAACATGTGGCAGAGCGCAGAGCAACATGTGTGTTCTGGGCCAATGAATGACTAGAGAAAAGTAAAATCAAACACTGATTGAGGAAATTACTGCAAGGTATAAAATCATAAAATTAAATCAGGAGTGACCTTTTTTATTCTTCATTTAGGCCTATTCATTTAATCTTGAGGGCTACTTTAATTAAATATTAGTCAAATTGTGTGCAGACCTGAAACAGTGTAAAAAGCACATGGTTGTCAGCGCTCACTTTTCATACCCAGTTAGTATCAGATGGCACGGTGAAATGTGTTTTAACTATAAAATTACATTTATTTATCAGGTAAATACATATAGACCCTTTTAGGGCCGACGTCACTGTAACATTGTTTTATTATCTGGAGGCAAAACATGACTCTCCACCACAGGGCTGTAGGCGACATGGGAGTCTTAAAATGTTGTCTTGTTGTGGTATTGGAAGCCAGAATAGAAGGAGTCATGACTCAAAACAAAGACAGCTATGGTTAAATGTGATAAGACCAAAGGACTGGACGGAGGCGATCATCAAAAATGCTCACATGTGCAGCACACACTTCATATCAGGTTAGGGAAAAAGTATTTCCTGCTGTAGGGATGAATAAAGTTATGTGTATTAAGGGTTATCATGTCCACCTCATCAGAAACTGGGGAAGTATTAAGAGGAATATTGGATTTCTCTGTAATGCTAACTTTTTAGTGCATTAGCTAACGTTAGCTTCGATAGCAAAACAAACTGGAGGAAACCATTCAAGTGTCGTCCTCCTTTGTATGATTGGCATCGCGATCAACCACAAAGCTTCCTGTGACATCATCCATCCACTGAATGAGAGCCTACGGGTCGGCCATTTTGGTCCCGTTGGTCAGTGTTTACAGTAACAAGTAGGCTGACACTCGTGGTCCCAGAGAGTGAATGACCAGACATGGTGCATTCGTAAATTCAGTCTGACGCACCACACTAAAATGAGAGCCCTGTTGGTCAAATAAAAACAGATTGTCTTTTTTGACATGAATTACTGAAGGGTTAAGCTAATCACACATTCACTCCGCTCGGCGCTCTGCTGCTCTGTCTCCACAGACAGAGTAGCTCTGACACTCTGAGAGTGTGGTGCTCTGATTAACGGTACATTCAGACAGTGCTCTGAATTTATGAACACTCCAGACACTCAGAGTTAATATTTCTGAATGCACCCTATTCAGAGAGAAAGCAAGCCAACAGAACTCGCTAGCTCTTGCTAATGTCTGTGGAGAATTGTTTCACCTCCAGCTAAGCCCCGCCAACTAAAAAATCTCATACTGTTTACTAACAGTAAAAGGGTCAATAGCTTGTATTGTCTGTGATTTAAGTCGGTAAGTAAATTGTTGAACTTGATCCCATGGATCTTTTCATGGGCCCCATCCTTAGCGTTATGTGGTGGTCATCTGTACCCTTTGACCCCTCCTGACATTGGGCTTGCATGGATATGACATAGTGAGATTCTTGATTATGATGATGTTCATTCATCTTCTAACCGCTTCATCCTCTTGAGGGTCACAGGGGGGCTGGAGCCTATCCCAGCTGACCTCGGGCAAGAGGCAGGGTACACCCTGGACAGGTCGCCAGACTATCGCAGGGCTGACACATAGAGACAAACAACCATTCACGCTCACATTCACACCTATGGCCAATTTAGAGTTTATGATGATGTTCCCTTTTAATAATATTTATCAGGTAAAATGAATAGCAAGGCAAATCCAGTTGCAGCAGCCCCACAGAGGTCAGGTGTACACAGGGGCCTTTCTGTTTGGGGGTCCTGGGGATCTTGGTACTTTTTTTTATTATAAACAAGCACTATTTTAATGCTTTTTATGGACTCTGACACATTATTTTCATTCAAGGTACATAAAAATTCCCAGTGTGAACCCTTTTATTTTAATTGTAGATTAAGCACACCACCAAGCATCCTATCAAGGGCCAGATTTGTCACTCATATACACTATATCACTGTAGTGTGATGGTTTAGATGATGTTTACAGACTGTTCCTCACATTTCTTTGAACAGGGGGCGCAAAAGACCTTTTTTCAGCAGAAAATAAAAAATATGCAAATCTTTTTTTTTTTTTTTACAAAACAGAACTTTCCACTGCCCACAGTCACCTCCCAGCCCCAGCTGTCATCAAACTATACACAAAATCAAAATTTAAAAAGGCTCCCTGGGACACAGTCTCACCATCCCGTTGGTGTCTTCTCTGTAATGCGGATCATTTTTAGCAGCCTCGCACATTAAAAACACACAGACTGCGTGTAGTGTAAGTTGTGAACCCGCTGACAGCTGAGTGACTGGTGCGTTTGAAGGCGGATGGGAGGCGGAGGAGTGTGTCCAATGGCGCGGCTGAGGAGGCGGTGTACGATGACAGAGAGAGGCGGGCTGCAGCAGCCAGCTGTTGGAAAGCAGCGCTCCTGAACCATCCGCTACTTGTGCACCAGGTGAATATCTCTGCATCAGCGCGACAACACAACACAAGACTTCATTAAGACATCTCTGTGTTGTTGTTTTTTATTCCTCTGTAGCTGCGACTTTTCCTGTTTGTTTGTTTGTCTGGTGTCGAGCCGGCGCGTGAAACTCAGACAGAAGGAGATCGAGAGCAGGTGAGGTGAGATGTTTTTTTTTGTTTTTCTAAAGCTTGTGCGTTTAGTTTTTTATCACCTCTGTTATTAAACCTTCCTGTGTGAACATATTCATGCCACAGCTGTGCGTAAAGTACCTGTTGCTGTGTCATTGAACGCAGCCTATAGATGAGGCTATATTAGACAGGGATGCTTGGCAACTCGGGGACAGACAGGCTATTCTTAAACGGTCTATTTTGAATGACGTCAGCAATTTATTAGGCCTAATTATCTGCTTACATTTTTTTAAGCTATGTATTTTTACAGTTTTTATTTTTAAGGTTTGAACATCTCGCAGTGCAAAGTGAATATTTAGGATTTGTAGACACATCCCATGACTCTTCATCTGTCTCATCCCTTCAACCTGTTGCCTTTTAAACCCTGTGGCTGCTCAGCTCTAAATGTGCATTGATAAACTCACGTTTTGGGGACATATAAGACTCTTCTTTAATGCAAATCTAATGTGCTATTTCTTCATTTAAAAGAGCAGAGTTGTCATTAAGGTGTGTCTCATCTTCACAGTTTGCAACAACTTTAAAAAAAAGTCCTGAGAAACTTTTTTTGTCTCTCTTTTTACGTAAAGATCAAATGTTCCGCTCATGCACACTGCATGTACTCTTGCTATTCTGGCTGTATCAAGGCAATTCAATTATCTCCTGTTAAAATTAGACAAACATTTCTCCTCCATGACTGTGCAAAGGCCCTGGTGAGCGCATGAACTGTCTGACCCCGAAGATGGCACACATGGGCAAACGTACATTTATTTTTACTGATATTAAAATGGCATTCTGCAGCTTTGAAGACAAAGAAAACGAGGCTTTCTCTGCTTAAATTATGTTTCAGTTTTGCTTTGTCACAATGTTCGGGAAGCACCCTTTTTTACCTTCAGTTTGGGAGGATTTATGTGTTAGTTTGTGCAAATTTTGGTTCCAGTTTTGGGCCCCGGTTTCACCTTTTACCAGCGTAACATGGGGCCTTGATGTGATGAACACAGGTGTGACTAAAATGACTTAAAAAAAAAGCAAAACCAAAGCTGCGCACCAGCTTGGTTAGGTGTCATCCACATGACTGCAGTATATAGTGCAGCTTTTCTTTTTACATGTATAGAAAACTATATTCCACAGGAGTAGAGGCAAGACAGTGGTGCAGACACATGCTTAAAGGGTTAACAAAACTGGTTATTCATGCGGTATTTTGCTTTTTTCCTCACGCGTAACTTAAACCATTGATTAATCTGGTAAATATTTTAATCATATTCAAACTCTGCAAATGCTCCTGCATGATTGGCTGTCACAGGAACGTGCTCTGCCACCTCAGAGTAAGTCATTAGCCTCTTTGGCCAATGTGCGTACACATGTTTAGCATGTTTTTGAAACATTATCAAGCCATCGTGCTCGAAATGACTCATGGAAAGAAACCCATCGATGCAGAACCCCCAATACTCTACAAAATGCCCTACTTATTTCCCTTCTCATTCATGCGTACAGTTCACAGCAGCAAGAAAAACCACCAGTGCAATACACTCATTTGAACTGATTAAACTTATTAAAATGATGTTGTCAAGCTCTTAGTTCTCTTTGCATGTGCATTGTTTTCCCAAGTGAGGTCCCCAGTGATTAGTCAGATGCTCCTGGGGTATGTCAGAGAGCAGGGCCACGGTTTGCTGCTGCTGCTGCTGTGTGTGTGTGTGTGTCTTTGCTCAGTTTTTTCCACTGTGTCGCCTCTGGGAAGGCATCTGACAAAGGTGCTGTCTTTCCCCATAGAAGCGTGAGACCCAGGGGCAAGTGTGCATGTGTGCAATTATTGCACTATTACAGGACACACAGAGATTCTGCTTGAAATTCATATGTTATCAAGGCACTTTTAAGACCAACTGAGAGGTAAAAACTAAAAAAGATCTGCAGGTTTATTTGATTTCCACCTGTTCTCACTGGCATGTTCAGGAGTTGACTTTACAGATAAACGTCACATGTAGGTGTGCTCTCAAATGGCAGTTGTTGTGTGGAAAAACATCCAGAATTAGCTGATGTGTGAGGCCCGGCAAGGCTTTTCCTGCCTGTCTCGGCCTTTAGGTCTTCGACAAACCTACTAAACCACATAGAGTTTTATAGCAAACTCCACGCCGTTTGGCTGGAGGTGTAGCTATATTTACCAAGCTAGTCATGTGTTTTAACAGGGCGGTGATACTCGTCGTTTTGCTTATATCTGAAGGGGGAGAGGAACTTTCTGTAAAACCCCTGAGATAAAGATCTTTCTGCCTTGTTTAGAACACATGTCCCACTTCCCTCTCCTCTCACCATTAGTGCCATTAATCTTGATGTGAGGATAAATGGTCTCACTTCTGAGAGATGGCTTGACCTGACGTGAGATCAATTCTTTGTGGCGTGGAGGTGTTAGTTAGACAAACCAACGCTGGCTTTTGTGGTCCTTTACTCGTAAGCGAGAGCTACTTGTCCGCAGTGTGCTCTGTTTTTACTATTGAGACAGCGGCAGTGACAGGTTTATCTGCAGCTGTCAGTGTTGAGGTGTGTCTTGTCTCTGCAGCGTGTTCAGCACAGTGGATATCACAGGACTTTATAAGGTAATAATGAGGGCAAAGAGGTGGATTCCTCCAGAAATGCCCCAGATGCCTGTGTGCCAAGCTTACGTTGAGGGACAGCGGGCACTTTAGGGGTCGTGGGAACGCAGGCGCCATATCCGCTCAGGCACCATCAGGAGGGACAGGGGACTAAATATAGAGAAGTCCAATACATGTCCAGTATTAAGGGGAAAAACCAGTGAAAACTGCTCTGGGCTTTGGAGAAGCACTGTATGATCAGGTCAGAGGAGTCAAACCACCGCTTCATGTAGTCGTGTGACTCATAGTGGAGTGTAAGATGGAGACAACTCAGACATAGAGCAAATCTATGAATGCATTTCATTTAGTTTTTTATGAGTTTGCATCAAACTCACTTCATGGCTTTTACCAATAATGCAAAGAACCTCAGTCGTCTGATTTCTCTATAGTGTCCAGCTGTATATGGTCAGGGGCAGGGACAGGAGCGGGGGTTTTCTAGACCAAGAAGAAAAAAAAAACGAAGAAAAACAGCGGGTGTGAGTTTCAAAAATGGACATTCTCAAGCCAACCACAATCCATCCATGTCTTTTCTGACCTGGCTGTGCATGAGAGAGGAGTGGGTGGCTTTTAGCGTCAGCCGTCTTTCAAAAACACACCGTTTTCCCTTTGACTGTTGGGTTTTTAGCTACTGCCTGCTGAACCTTTAAAAGGAGCTATCAACTGTATTTTTAACCCTGTCTCTTGGGGCCGTGCGGCGCAGCCGAGCACTGAGCTGCTGGCCCGGGGGTAACCCATATTGTGGGGGTGTCAGACTGTGTGGACTGCTGGCCCGGCAAGGGCCGCTCTAACTTTAGACCGCATCGCCTCATGGTGGTAAAAATAAACACCCTGCCCTTACCAAGGGGAAAGGGACTTGAGTCACTTAAACCAAATGGATGACATTTTCCCACCAGAATTTAACAAGCGTGACGAGAGCATGATTGAATAATTGTACTGTTATTGTAAAATGTAGATGCATGTAAACAAGAATAAACCATTAGTTCAGTTGCAACTGCGCACAAATGTGACTGACCCTCGAGACATTTTTAGTTTTCCTAAAACTAGAGAAGGAAAATGTTTAATGTATTTATTTGTTGATGTTGTCACTGCTCCAATATGACTGCCTGGTTGTGTTCAGCTACTGTAACATTGTTATATTTTATTTTACAGGTGTCCAAGTGTCAGACAGCAGAAAAAATGGGACGGAAGAAAATACAAATTTCTCGTATTCTGGACCAGAGGAACAGACAGGTAGGAAATATTTTATATAGATATATACCATAACCTTTTTAATGCACATGAACAGTGGGTTTGCCTCAGTAATATTTGCAGACATTTTAAGACCTGTTTGGAGTAGAAACGGTACATAGGCATACACAGACAGTGCAGGAGATGCAACAAAACCTGGACTAAAATTGTCACATGCTGAATAGTTACACACATTGTTAAACTGATTTGCATAGAAAACAAGTTTTGTGCCGTTGTAAAGCTGGCACATAGCATAAGGGGCTAATGTGTGTAGTGATTCTGATGTGTGATTTCTTAGTACTGCTAGACGGTGGAGGAAATGTTACATTATGATATCTGGAACGATACGAGACACTTGTGTGATCGTAGTTTCATTTTACAGTAATGGCACCATGCATGCTTCATGTTCAGACTTGCATATTGAAGTTGGAGCCAAATAGGTGTAAATGCACCATCAGTGAGACGTGAGAGTTAAGATCCACTGCTGTACATGTAAGAAAATCTGAAAGATCTAACAGTGAAACTGAGATTTTCTTCAGGGCCAAAAGATCAGTAATGGCACTCTTGCTCTTTCACACTGCACAAAATGGACTGAGCACTCTTACAGAGCAACACTGAAAGGAGGAAATATGGTTAAAGCCTAAAAGGAAGATGTATTTGACAGTACAGTGCAGTACAGGAAGTTTTTTTATCAGTTAAATACAAGATAAATCTGATAAAGCAGATTATATATATATTTATATATATATACAGTGTAATGTTGATGTCACCTCACAGCCAGAAGTTACATATATTTGTGGGGCATCGCCACACACTGAGGTTATGTCAGTGCGATACTGCAACGTGACAGAAATGTTCACATCGTGCTCATAACCTATTAATATGTTGATCGGTATGTATGAAAAAACGCATCAAACGCACACATGGAATCAGTGCAGACAAGAAAAAAAACGCATTAAAGTGTGCTCAGAGTGCTGGCAATTTGTTTCTCTTATCTGATCTTCGGGACTGAATGTTTTTGGGCGATAAGGTTTGTTTTTTGGGGAGTTTTTCCTTATCTGAATCGAGGGTGTGAGGACAGACAGTGGTGTACGCCGTCAAGATTGTAAAGCCTTCTGGGACCAAGTTGTGATTCTAGGCCGTATAAATGTACTTGATTGTCAACACTGTTGGTACGATTTGCAAGCGTTGAGTTTGGATTGTGTGTTGTGCTTTTCCATTTAAAAAAGCAATACATTTTTACCCTCAGCAGCGGTATATTTAAACAGAAATAATCATTAAACCGATAACACAAAAGGTGTGTAAGGGCTGATTTTTTGGCAGCTAATCCAAGTTGGTAATTTGTTGCTGTTGTTGTCCTCACTCCTGCAGAAATGCTTACGCAAAACATTTGTAAGATTTATTTAAATACTTTAGATGCATATGTTCCTCTAAATCATCAGCTACCGTCTGAAGTTAAATGTGACACAAACCTGCGTGTGGTTTTTTAGGTGACTTTCACCAAGCGTAAGTTTGGCCTGATGAAGAAGGCGTATGAGCTGAGCGTGCTGTGTGACTGCGAGATCGCCCTCATCATCTTCAACAGCACCAACCGTCTGTTCCAGTACGCCAGCACAGACATGGACAAAGTGCTGCTCAAGTACACCGAGTACAGCGAGCCACACGAGAGTCGCACCAACACCGACATACTGGAGGTAGCGTGCATGCTGTTATTAAAGGAAATGACAGTGAAGCATGATTTAGCATCAATTAAATAACATTAAAATGAAAATCAGGTTGTAGATTTTATTCTTTCGGGTGAAAACGTTCCATATGTTGCTTTCTTGCAGCTTGATGGTTTCATTGTGGGTGATTTTCCATGTGCACTTTCTGTTCTGTATCAGACCCTGCGTAGGAAAGGCCTCGGTCTCGACGGCTCAGAGCTCGACAGCGAGGAGAGCATGCAGGTGGCTGCAGACAAATATCCTCTGAGCGAGGGCATGGATCTTTCTGTGGCTCGCCAACGCTTCTATGTCAGTCCACACGCAATTCTGCTATTGCACAGTCACCACAAACACAAGCATGAGCACACACACACACACACACACACACACACACACACACACACACACACTCACACTGAGCTGTCCTGACGTGTTTTAATGTGGATTTTTCTAATTCTCCTCATTTAATGACATAAAACAGCTCAAAATGACACATTATGATACTGACATTTTCTTTAGTCTTTTTTATTCTCACTGTTATTATGGATTTTACTCTTCAGGGCCCATCCCTCCTCTCACCTGAGGCCCAGTTCCTGGTGTCTGCAGGCTGTGAGAACGGTTTCCCCAACTCCTCTGGATCCAGCACGGCCTCCCACAGACCTCCGGGCTTCAAATCTCTGAGCTCCAGACCTGGCTCTGCCAGCCCTGCTGCGCCACATGCACACACTGCGTTCATGTCTCCACACTCAGGTGAGCACAACTGGCTGGTCCTACTGTATGAAACATTACTAGAGTCATTTTAATTTCAATGCATTTACTATTGAAAGTAACCTGAAAGTAATTTGTGTATATACTTTGGTGGTTCCTAAGTGGTCCGGATTTCTCCTTAGTCATCAGTTCAAGGTCCACACAGTTTAATACATTCGGCGTCATACTTGCATTTGGGCAAGTCGTTAAACACTCACTAACAATATATCCAAATCTGTGCCGAAGAGTTACTATTTAAAAATAAAGTGTGTTTTTTACAAACTTAAAATGTTTGTGTGTCAATTGTGGTCCATTCAGAGTAGACCAGCAACCCACTTTTGGTCCGCAGTGCACCGATTGGGACCCACTGCTTTATGTGATAAATTTTAGGTTTAAAGTGAACCATATCATCCAATTTCCTTGATGTGTTTAATGTACTTTACACTCATTTACATTACCGTTATTTGACTTCTGCGTGACACTGTGCCAATAAAATAGTTTCATTACAAAATTAAATGTACATGATTTTAAAAAATGTGACTCCCTATGATACAGTGATTGCTACCATTAAATTAAAACTCTCCACTGAATTGAAAATATATTTCTTAATACAAAGGCTTCAAACATTCGCAGCTCATTATTTGCACATTGGCATTTGTTACCATATTGAGCAGTGAGCCTTCTTCTCTGTAAAAAAAGATGCAAACCCTTCACCACAATGATCCATTTAATGCTTTTCTTGCTAAATATTTGCTGTAAAATTCACGTGTGCTGTCGACCTTCTGTGCAACTGGCTGTGAACTCACAGGAAGTGTGTGTGTACGTGCATGTGTGTGCGCACTAATCCACACAAGCAGTTGGTCTGTTTTGTGAAACTGGCCCTCCACCAGTGTAACAGCGGCTGTAACCAGTTCTGTGGTTTCTGTACAAAATGTATCACACCTGCCAGTCATGACAGCCTCTCTTACAGCCTTTAACTATTTGAGCGCCCTATGATGTCATGAAAGACTGATCACTGGCAGTGTTTTTTAGATGTGTTATTAGTGTTTTTCTCATAATTGACGTTGATGTTTACAATCAGTTCATAATGGATTTTGACTGGTCATTGATACACTGATGATACATTACAAACATGAACATGAACGTGTCCTTTGTCCTTTAAACATCAGACACCGATTCAAATGTCAAACTAAAAAAGAAGAAGTTGATTTTTATCACACTTGTGTGCAGACACAGCGCGAGGTGAAGAATGTATCACAGAGAATAAATTATTTCTCTGTAAGTGAAACAAGCTCACATCTCTTTTCACTTCCTGCTCCTTTCTTTCTCTGTTCAGGTATCGGCTACTCTATGTTCTCACATGGTAACTTGAATCGAGCTCTGGACATGAAAAGCCCACCTCCTCTGAACCTGGGCAGTGAGAACCTGCGGGGGGAGGCCGCTAATCAGGGCATGGGAGCCACACGTGCTAACCACAGCTCTGCTGTAAGTGGTTGTTACTATCCAGCGTTATCTGCACACAGCGGCACTTCTCACACATATGATATGCACATTTCATGCATGCAATGATGTCACTCCATCACTACAAACTTGAGATTTTCACTTCAACTATTTCTTTTCCCTGTTTGTCAGAGGGGGGTTTTGTACCAGGGTCTGCACAGCAGCAGCTCCATGGTAGCCATGGGGAAGGCAGGGCTGCTGGGTCACAGTTTGGGCGGCTATGGCCTCCCCTCTCCTGGAGCCTCTGGTATGTCTGCAGTGTATCATCTATTCTGTGGTGTTGCTTTATTGCTGAAAGTCAGATGAAACGATTCATACTGCTGTCACGTCTTTTAATAATCAAGCTACAGCCAGCCACCAGTTAGCTTAGCTTAGCTTAGCTTAACATAAAGATGGTTAATAGGGGAACAGTTGGCCTCGCTGTGTCCAGAGGAAACAATATCTGTCTACTAGCTCATGCACAAACACCAAAGAGCAAAAATGAGAAGCGCTGCGACTATACACTGTAAAAATAATGGACTTAGCCACCGTGATGTCATCTATTGGTTTGGCGGAGCCAGCAGTGACCATGCTTTGGACGAGAGGCACTGTAAACCCCGGTTCATCTATGACATGAAATTTTAATGTAAAGCCTACACAAATGCCCCGGATTGTCAAAATAACATAAAAAGTTTATGTTCACCTGACACAAAAACTTTCTTAACACTCTTAAGTCAACAATTTCTTAGTTTTGAGTTAACCTGACTGAAATTTATAAAGTCAGTTACACCAAAGTAGTTTAAGGCCAAGAAACAACACTATCATTGTGCACATATTGTGGGGTGTTGGGCTAAATGGGTGGAGTTTCCCAGCATGCTATGAGACAACCTGTTCAACCTGAAGAACACTGTGTTTAAATGTGTTTTAAATCACTCATGTTACCCGTGACACAGTGAACCATGTTTATGTACTTCACAGTGGTTCTAATGGGCTACAGTTAATGTTGTGGTAAAAGACATTTTGCACCATGAGTAAAGTCGTATACAAAGTTAGTGACATCATGCCTGTGTGGATATTAGGATGAGTAACCTAAAGATGGTCTGAGGTGAAATAAAACGCATAACTTAGATCAGAATCCATCTCTTGTCTGTATTTTAGTTATTGAGAAACCTAAGCTTGCCACCATTTTCACAGTTAAATAACATTTTTAAATAAATTGTTGTAAAATATGTACTCAATGGTTTTATATTCCTATGACAGAATTAAATGCTCAAACAACGACAACAAAAAGTTACGTTAAACTGACATAAAATTCCTGTGACACATTTATTTTGTGTCTTGACGTAGTCAAAACATTTATGTTACTGTACTGTGTTAAACTTAAAGTTTAGAGTGCAAGCTGTTTCCAAAAAAAATTAAAGTTGAGTGAGCGAATTAGGGTTTACAGTGTGGTGCTGTGGAGGAGTGAGGGGTCGATCTCACTGAGAAGCTGAGGATACTATCGTCACACAGCCTGTCACTCAAAGTGGCCCGCCTTTAACTCTGTGTAACTTTAAGCCTTGGTAAAATGTAAATGAGTGCGTTAAAAATATATCCCTGTACAGATGGCATGAAGGGGGAAATGAGCTGTAGAGACCAAAACCATTTTTTTTTGTTCTGCTGTGAAGTTGGGGATTGACTCACTTCTGGAGCCAGCCTCAAGTGGCCATTCAAGGAACTGCAATTTTTGACACTTCCATGTGGGATTCATTTTCCAGCCACGGCTGTTGCCACTTGGTGTAAACAGGAGGAAAAAGTTAGCTTTGCTGTGTTCAAAGGAAACACAATCTGCCTATCGACATAAATACAAACATCCAGATGCAAAAGCAACAAGTTGGGGCTTTACCAGGGGTTTTGTGCCACACTGTTTCTGGGCTGTGACCTCTTACAGTCTTTGCTGGTTGCTGACAAAGTCACTGTGGCCTCAAGATTCTAAAAAAGTCGGTACACCCGTCCAAGAAGTAGTCCTGCACATAACTCCTGATTGTATGGATTAAACAAACAATTCTCCCTGCAAAGCTAAGCTAAGCTAATCAGCTGCTGGCTGTAGCTTCATACAGTACACACAAGAGTGTGATGTCAGTATTCTCATCTGCTCTCAGCAAGAAAGCAAACAATTGTATTTCCTAAAATGTCAAACTATGCTCTTCTAATGAAGATAATCTGTCCTATCATTCACAGATTCTGGTTTATTAAAGTCTACCCTGTTTATGTCATCTTTTAAATCATATCTTTCTTCGCAGAGTACAGCCAGCCTGGTTTTTATCACTCTGTTAGTCTACAGCGAGGAGCAGTGAACCCCTGGCAGCCAGCACAGCCGCCTCAGGAGCCCCATGGGCCTCATATAGGCCCAGGGTAAGGATATTAATGTGCAATATGGTACCCTCTGTGGGGATAAAATATGGAATCATGGTAGAAAGTTGAATCGACACACTGTTCTTTGCTCCAGCAATGTTTTTTTAATTCACTCTTGCTGTGCATCATTTCGATCGATCAGATCTTCATCAGCCGCAAAACAGCACTAACAAATATCACGTTATATCTCAATATGATGGCAATCATATATGTGGCTTCAGAAGACAATGAACGAATTACTGACATATGCAACAGCAAGTCAGAAAGAATAACACAAAGAAAAAGGAGAAAATTTATGAAAAAATAAATATAATTAAAGAAAATGGAGTGAAAAACAAACATAAAAGAGCAGAAAAAAATAAATAAAAAATAAAATTAATGAAAAAATAAAATAGGACAAAAATCAAAAGAAAAAGAATTTATTGGAAAACATTTGAAATAGAATAAGTTAAAAAAAAGGAATGTAAAATAAAAAAATGAGAAAAAGAAAGTAAGAAAGTAAGTTAGTACATAATAAATTCATAATAAATAAATGTAATAGATGATAAATAGAAAATTCAAACATAAGCATTGAATAAGAATCAATCAATCAATGAAAATTAAATAAAATAAGAAAAAATAAAAATAAAATATTGGAATGCAAGTTAAAAAGGAATGTAAAGTAAAAACAGAAAAATTAGAGAAAGATAATAACCATAAATGGAAAATGAATGTCAGTACATAATAATTCATAATTAATAAAAAAATAGATAAATTATAATAAATAAAATTATAATGTATTTATTAAAAAAATAGACAATACATAATATATAATAAATGTAATAGATGATAGATAAAAATAAAATATATGCATAGAAAAGGAAAAAAGAAAAAATGTTCACAAAATACATTAAAATAAAATCAATTAAAAAATAAAATAAGAGAAAATCAAAAGAAAAGAAGTATATTAAAATACTGAAATGCATTTGACATTGAATAAAAGTTTTTTAAAAAAGGAATGTAAACTATAAACAGAAAAATGAGAGAAAGAAAACAACAATAAATGGAAATTAAATGTTAGTACATAATAATTCATAATAAATAAAAAATAAATAATACATGTATTTTTTTAAATAAATAAGTAAAATATAATAAATGTAATAGATGATAAATACATTTTGCTTAATGTTGTTTATATGAAGCCAGTATATTTATCATTATCATGAAGCTGGATGAAAATCTCACATTTGTCTTTTTATTCATTTTAATGCATCAAATTTGGCTTTTAATTATCTATAACTGCAGAACTCATGTTTTAACCCAGACATTTCTTTTGTCTTGTTGTTTCCAGGATGTCCAGCGGAGGGTGCTCCTTCCCCTCCCAGTCCTGCTCCTCAACCTCTCCACATCTGCCCTCCCTCAACCTCAGCATCAAATTGGAGCGGAGCTCTCCTGAGCACATGTCCTCACCCACCTCCCCTCCTCTACACCACCTCAGGCAGCACTCTCCAATGAGTAACCCCGACTCGGCTCGCCAAACCCCTCCAGAAGCCCGTCCGGCCAATGAGGCGAAGGAGTTTCCCAAAGCTGGCTACCCACAAGACGAAGAGGAAGGAGGGCAGCCGCTCAGGCAGTTAGAGATAAGTGATGGGTGGCAGAGATAGCTGGCTGCTGCAGTCTAACACCATCTCCCATTCAATCAGCTATCTTCCATCGAAACCAGTCCTCTCTTACACACACACACACACACACACACACACACACACACACACACACATATAACACAGAAGATAGCGAGATGGGGTCGATTTGTCCCCGTCATCCCAGAGAGGAACGCCTCTCTTTGTCTCCTCACTCAGAGCTGGTCTCTCCTGGGCGATGGAGAATTTTCTCTGCATCACTTGATCGATCCCACGAGGAGACAGATGCATACAGACATTTGCTTTTTGTTTGGTTAGGTTTAGTTTTCTGTGTGGAGCAAATGTGAATCAAAAAATACAATTTGAAATGTGTTCGTTTTGTTCCGTGACTTTGCTGAAGTTTAGCTACAGCAGCACATCGGGACCAGCTGAATTTCTCCAAAGCTGCAGACCAGTCTGAGTACATATCCGGCTTCAGGGGTCGTCAGTGTTCGACCCAGGTTTGAAAAATACCTGTCAAACTACATTTCACCATCTTTGTATAAATGTCACAGTGAAAAGCAGACGGCAGATGGAACATGACTCATCACAGCAGCCAGAAGGAACCACTTAGTCTCTGTGTACAGTAAACCTTCACACACCTTATGGCCCTCTCGCTTTATAAGCTTTAATGTTTTAGCCTTTAGCCCAAAATCACTGACATGATCTCCCCACATGAAACCAGTTAGATATCACCCTTCACTGGAGCCTTGGCCTTCTCTGAAACACACTAGGACATTTTAAAGGATGAATTCAATTTTTTCCCCCCAAGATTGTCTTTAAACAGTTCTCACGTGCCCATATGTGCACTGAAATATGTTTTTGTTCACTGTAACTGCTGCTCCTGTCCATACTGAAAGTGACAAGATATCTTCATCATGATATTCTAATATAAGAAACAGAGAATGAAATCCACAGGGCTCCCTAAAAACACGGTATTTCACCTTACATCCTGGGTCACACAGAGCGATGTGTCTGTGCCTGATGCGCGCTCTCGTCTCATGGGTTGTGTCCTCACTTTTTGGATAGGATAACACAACTGTAACATAAAATAGTTGTTTATGAAATCAATCTTTGCCTTAACCCCAAGATTAAACCTACAGGAGGCCTTACACAAAACTGTAACTTCAAACAGAGATGATTTTTATGCCTCAGAGGTGTTATGTTTTTGGGTTGTTCACCCATATGATGTATAAACATCTGTCCATACATCTGTACATCCGAGTCGTGTAAACATGATATTTCTTTAAGAATGCCTTGAGGAAATTTCTTCATATTTGGCACAAACGTTCACTTGGACTAAACGAACTGATTAGATTTTGGTGGTCAAAGGTCAAGGTCACTGTGCCCTTGTGTACATCCCAATCTCGTGAACACGATATCTCAAAAACAACTTGAGCGATTTTCTTCAGCTTTGGCACAAATTCACATGGACTCAGCAGTGAACTGATTAGAATTTGGTGGTCAAAGGTCAAAGGTCAAGGCAACTGTGACCTCTCTAAACAGGTTTTTGGCCATAACTCAAGAATTTGTACGCTAGTTATGACAAAATTTCACATAAATGTCTGATATAGGATGAAATAATGAAGTGATGACGTTTTATATCCAAAAGGTCAAAGGTCAGCCTCCCTGTGAGATCCCCTGTGAGTGTTCTGCAAAAACTTTTTTTTTTTTTCTGGCCATTATTCAACATCATATCTCAGCAACAGAAGGGGAGATGTTTAGTCAGATACTGAATGGTGGCACTAATCTTTGGTGTCCACCTTAAAACTGTGCTGATTGTACAGACCTTCTGTTCTGCCAGGGGCAAGATGTTTATAAAGCATTCATGTTTTCACAGACATTGATATAAACTCCAAGTTCAACTTACAACCATTTTGTGATCATCATTTTACGAAGATTCGCTTAAAGTTTCTTGCTTCAACTACAGCTAACATTAGACTTCCCTGCAGATCGGGGCGCCCGGTAGCTTATGGGTAGAGCAGGCACTCCATGTACAAAGGCAGTGTCTTTGCTGTAGCAGCCGTGGATTCAGCTCCAGCCTGCAGCCGTCTGCTCCATGCCATCCCCCTATCTCCACACCACCTACACCCAATGCTGTCCTATCAGTTAAAGACAAAAAGCCCAAATAAAACTGAAAAAAAAAAGACTTCCCTGCAGGTTTTTGAACGACTTTTACCTGACTGCTTATATATATTCTCAATCTGACCATCATAATGTAAAACAGCTAAATAATGGTAAAGTATGTTGACGTTTAGATGGACTAAATCATGCCCAACAGTAAAAATCTACTCAGATGGGGGCTCTGTGGGGACATCAGTGTAGTATCTTGCATCAACAGATGCCTGCCCAAACAGGCTTACAAGGCAGACTATCAGTATCCATGTGTACAGGTGTGAGGCCAAATATAGAAAAATATAAATCGTGTATTCTGAATGCCTTTACAATTGTAGTGTGTATCATTCAGTCTAGCTTGCCTAGTTTTCCACACTTTAGAAATATAACTATCCCACACTTTGCCACTCAGTCCACCTTCTTATTTCCATCAAACCAAAATAATTCAGGATTTTTGTTCTTCATTCTTACAAAGGTCACACAAAGTATGAACATGCACTCAGAGCACAGGCTGAGACGGGCTTGCTAAAGTGTGCACTGCTGCATCCTGCAAAACCACGCCCATCAAGGTAAATGTTGTGTTTTTAAGGAGTCCCCAAAATCCACAGCAAATTCAAGGCCTCAGCAATGTTTGTAGTACGGAATTCCTTCATTATGAGTGTTTTAAAGAGTAACACAAAGAGAGAAAGCTGTACTAAAAACTGCCACAGCTTCATATTACCTCCAGATTGATTTAATGTGCATTTTCACTGTGAATTTTGACCCCCATCTTTTACCGTACAGTAGAATCACATTAGGCTCAGTATGGCCAGTATGGACAGGAGGAAGAATTACAGCAAACCAAAAAACTGTCTGCGTTGCATGGACATGTGGGAATTGTTTAAAGACAAAAAAAATCTAATCCTTTAAAATTCTGTGCGTCAGTGTCTTTCAGGAACTTGGATGATGTCGGGAGGATTTCAAAAACGGCTTCTCTCTATGTCTGTAAAACTGTAATTGTGCATAAGCTAAGCTTTCATCGTATTATTCCTCCAAATAATATTAGTTTCATCATTTTAATTCACCCCATCAATAAAGTTACGGCAGTCTATTTCAAGTAAAGACCAAAGTGTTTAAATATTATCTCTATGCATTGCAATCAAATACCGCAACAGCCAAAGACGACATGTGTTCATCAAATTTAATTTAAGTAATATTTAAAATAGCATAAATTATTATATCTGAAGGGCTTCATTTAGTGACTGCATATTGTAGATATCATGGAGCTTTACTGCCATCGTTGTCTTATGATATTAAGAAATATATTAGACTGTGTAATAATTAGTCTATAGTCATAGGATATTAAATTTAAAAGACCTACTTTCTTTTTTAAATTGAGGAATGTTTGATTTTCATTTTATCTGTAAATGTACTTTGCACTGTATTTTTGTGCACTGGATTTCTGTGTGTTTTAGTTGCATATTCAACTTGTTCTGCAAAAAGCAAAATATAGTCAGAATTTGGGTTTGGATGCACTTCCACTTATTGTCCACAAGGGGTCATGTTACCTCTTAAAATTTGGGATTTGGATTTGGATGGGAAAGTGCCCATCAGGGGAGGACCAGCCTTAAACTGTTGGTGATTAATTATCTAATGAATCTCTGTGACAAGACACAGGTTCAGTGGTTCACCCTGAACACATGCGACAAATCCATCATGACAAACTCTGCAGAGATTCTTGTTGGAGGTCTTCAAGTTCAAGTGCTGCTGTGGAAATAGCTCCTTTTTTCCTCTTTTTTATGCAGTTATGTGGATTAATATCAGCATGAAGAACCAAATGATCAGTATTCTGATGTTTTGGGGTTGTGTTTTTATATGTTTGCTGAATGCTTCACTAACAGAACAAAGACAGATTTTTATTTGACATTTGTTGTGACTCCTTTTAAATAAAAACAGTTTGATTTGTATGTTGATTTGTGTCCTGCTTTTTTTTCTCTACAAAGCAAATTTAGTTTATCATCTTCCTTTAAAAATGTAACTCTAGTGACATTTCTTTTTTTCATGTACATTCAATTTGAAGATATAAAAAGCCGTCCTCTGTGTGGCTATCAAGCTTTCATGTGTCCATTTATTTAGTCTTATTCACCTCCGTTCCGTCTTTTGAACACACACACTCCCTCATTATCATGTCTGGCCCCTGTCAGGCAGCTCACCACGCAGCCACCAAACGAGAGGAACAAGAATGGACCACTTAAAAGCCTGGAGACCTTTATGTCTTCAAATAAAATACATTCAGCACAAAAAAGGTTCATTTCCACAGCTGGTTGTCTCTCAGTAACTATGCCTGGGTGTTTTCATATATGCTGCCACTATAGAGCATCTCAGCAAACAGCAGAGAGGAGCCCGGTCCTCCTCTGTCGTCTCTCCTCCCTAAATGAAAAGAGCCTCTCACTGGGGTCATGTCTGGTCTGCTCCCCTGAGACCAGGCCGGCCCAGTCTGTAGGGCATGTCTGGGTCCTCCTCACACACACACACATATGTAGACACATCCTGGTTTCTATAGCAACCACATGCAGCCATGGCCGCCTGACTTGGCCCGCTGCAGTCCACAGATCAGACCGAGGGGGCCTGAGGCCTCCGGCACAGATGCACATAATTAATGTGATTATATAGATATGTCAACCCTGTCATTTCTCAGTTCATTAGGCCGGACGCTCCCACAGACCTGTCACAGGCTCAGAGAGGAGCACAGCACCACTGGGCATGCTGGGTGGGGATGCTGCTTACAAACATGCAGCCCAGACTGTACACCTCAATCAGGATATTCAACATGACAGAAACATTTTCCTGGACATTGTCTTAAATCATCGCTAAGAAAAAAAAATAATACTGTTGATCAGTGGTGAAAGAAGTACTAACTTATCTAACAAAAAATAAAAAATCCAGTGTACAATTTTTTTTTAAGTAAAGGTACGCAATTATAAGCATTAAAATATACTTTAAGTATTCATTATACAGAACATTTCTGAATAATTTATATTTTAATACTGGATTTTAATTAGTGATGAATAAATGCATACATCACATTAATATTGCAACTGGTGGAGCTAATTTCAATTAATTTATATACTGCTGGGCAGTTTAAGGTAAAATAATATGTCATAATTAATTAATTGATTTATATTTTTGTTAATATTCTTAATCTGCCTAAAAAATAATTGTAGCAAAGTGAAAAATACATTTTTGCCTTTAAAGACAAAAATAAAAACATATACCTCAAAACTGAACTTATGTACAGGATACTATAAATACTTATAATAATCATAATAAAACAAATAAATAAAAATATAATAGTAGTAGTAATAGTTGTATTAATGATTAATAAATGAATAAATAATAAAATAAATTAGTAAAAAATAAAATCAAAATAGTTGTCTCACTACTACTAACAATAATGATAATTAACCAAATTAATAATAACAATAATAATAAACAAATTAATAAAATACAATAATAATAATAATAATAATAATAATAATAGCAATATTAAAGATTAATAAATGAATGAATAAAATAAGTAAATAAAATGATTAAGAAAATAATAGTCATAATACTATTACTCCTAATAATAATAATAATAATAATAAACAAATTAATAAAATAAAATATTAATAGCAGTAATATTAAAGATTAATACTAATACTCCTAATAATAATACTAATAATAATAATAATAATAATACAAATAAATAAAAATAGAACAAACGTAGTAATATTAAAGATTAATAAATAAATAAATAAAAATAAATAAATAATAAAATAACTGAAATAATAATTAGTTTTTTATAAGTGCCTTTCAAAACCCTCAAGGACATCCTACAAAACAAGCAGTAATGTATCAAGACATCATAAAGTCAGACAAATCAGTTATTTACAATAAGTTAATAAAATAACTGTATGACATCATCATCAGAGTAAATATACTTAGTCCTTTTTCAGCCACAGCTAATGATACACAACATCCCAATGCTAAATCTCAAACAGCCATAATATATGGGACGTCAGGATTGTTAACTGCTCCAAATTTCTTCATTTGGCTTTGTGATCATTGATCTCCTCCAGTGAAGCACGTCCCAGCGCACATAAAAAGCCAGTGCGGTGGCTGTCCCTCCCGAAATTGGAGTCTTTGTGGCTTTTGATTGGACGTGGAAGTCAAATGATATCGCCAATAAATCATGTCAGCTTTCAGACAAAGAGCCTCTCCAGCCTCGCTCTGGTGAAAAAAGGTCACATTCCTTAACTGTTACACAACTGGCATGTAAATCTGAATGTTTTGATAATGTCAAAAAGCATATAAATCTACGTTGGATGTGTTTAGGCTGCGCTGACAAATGGGAGAGGGTTTGGACGAGTTCCAGGAAATGTAACAGCTCCTGTGGCCAAGTTGGACATCCACGAACAATATTTCTTCCCAGACTGCAGAGGGGCATCGGGTTCACAGTAATTATCAGTGATTAAAGAATGATCTTCTCAGGAGGCTCGGGGTCAGAGATCAGGACCCGGCACAGCGGCGAGACACTCCATTGTCATGCATGATGTCTTTTGTCAATTGGAGCAGCGACTTT